AATATTGATTAGTTAATTACAGTATATTATGTGACAATGTAGGTAATTGTCATTCAAAAGTGAGTGTTTTTGTTATAAGTACTTAAGCGATAGAACATAAATTACTTGGATGATAATTAATAAGTCAAATATTTAGTATATATACAATATTATAAAACGAATAGTTTAAAATTCCACAGAGAGAATGAAAAGTGGCTAATTTGCAATCGGAAAATACAATTATAAGTATATTTGTAAAAAAAAAAAAATAAAAAAGCCATGTCGTAGAGCTGCAATACGAAATAACATMAAAATGCTATAATTTATTAATGAACGAAAAACTGTCTCTCAAACATCATAGATTTTCTTCAATAATTTATTCTTAAGAATCATAAAGTGCATTAAATAAAAAATGAGAGCAAATTGTACAAACATACGGCCATGCTACTGTATTAAGGTGTTTAAAAAGTATCTAACGATAATAATAACCATATCGTACAAAAAATACTATAACTATATCAATATAAATCGAAAATAAGCAGGTATCTCATGACAATAAAGTTATGTCCGGGACAGTCTCGGTTTTAACAGCATGTCCCGGTGTCCCGGTCGGTCATTAATTTTGTCCCGGTTTATGGAAGACAAGAGAAAATAACTTATATATTATTTTGTTTAATAATAAAACATAAAATAATATTATACATAGAATTTGGGTTTAACTTATAAAGAATTTTRTTTAAAAATTAAAAGTAATACAGCTGTATTGAAGACAATTCATTCAACCGAAAGGTATGAACATTAGGTTATTACTAACAATTAATAAATGTAAATTCAGTAAATGTAGTTTATATAAAACATTGTATAATATACACTATAGTTTTTTTTCTGAGTTCATGAGGAATGCGTATTGAATTTGGCCGATTGACCAGATTAGCAGATTTTAATTATACCTAATCAAAATTGGTCAAAGTTGTATACCTATCTAAAAAAAAAGCTACACGTTGTATCCGTCTCATAAGTGTGTGTCATAACAAATTTACGTTTAGCAGATCATGTTTAGCTCCATTGTAGTTTACAAATTAGAGTAAATTGACTAATTATGAAATTTGATGGTAAGAAYATTATCTGTATTTGTATTTGGAATTTTAAGATAACTTAGTTTTTAGGTAAGTTATGAGAATTTTTAATTTACACTTTTTATATACGCATAACTTGCTAAAAATTGAACTATCATATAAAACCCACAAACACAGATCATTTTCTTGACATCAAGTTTCATAGTAGGCTGATTCACCCTAATTTTTAAACTAACGGAACTAAACGTGATCTGCTGCATATAAATTTGCCAAGCTATTCACTTGTAAGACGGAGACGACACATTAGAGTGCAACGTCCACTTAAAAAAATKAAAAAAAGCGAATGTATAGTGTCCTCACAATGTTTTTCATTTGGATAATATTTATTAATAATTAACGTTTTGTTCGTGAACAATGATAGTCGATGTAAACAGGCCACATTATTTTGAYGTAAAACTTTATTAGAAATTAAATCAAAATAAAATGAGTTACCTAAAATATAGTATAATAAAATAAAATAGTAAAAATGTGACGCAATARTGCACTTAGGTAGTGGGTGCCAAAAAGGGCATCAAGATCATATTTATAAAGATAATGACGCAAACCRACCGATCCCTATGTAGTACGTAAACTCATCACAATCCCGTAGGATCACTATCAAAATATYGGRACTTTTCTCATAGCAACCTGTGCATCTGTTTAAAAATGTAATGAAATATATAAACCTAAGTACCATAAGACTGGGGGATTACTCGGGACATWTTATTATATAAATGAAATGATTAATTTGAAAGTTGGGTACCTAATGTTGAAGACATTTTGAATTAAGCCATCTGGTAWTACCGATTTCGCTATAATTATATCAATAATTTTGTAAGTAACCATACCTAATAAAAATAACTGAAGAAAAGGTGTAGTATAGATTTAGATAGTTAATTTTTTTAGTGATAACTYAATCATATCGAAGTTTTAAAATATAAAAGTGAATYAGCTTGATCAAGTCCTTGGATATTCTTATAATTTTCAAAAAGTGTGTATATGTATATTAAATTAAATTCAGTTATGTTACTAAATAATATTTTTAACGCTTAAATAGTGGTCTGTGGAAGCAATTGAATTCAATCAAACTCTGAGTAATATGTACAGCTCAGTCTCAACTCTCAAGTTCAACCCTGCCGTCTAGACACGTAAAAAACTTTAATAGATTTAAAAAAACCGATAACACATATCCCGAATACCCAAAGGAAGTTTATAGTATAATGGCAAATTAATAATAATAATAATAACTTAAYCTATTAGGTCGTCTCACTAACTGTGAAATCTATTATATCAGTATATAAGAAAAATAAAAATAAAATATTTTCATCAGTCTCATTCAAAGAACACGCAATTAATAATAATAATAATAATATACCTATCTACCAACGTGTAATAATTATATAAAATACCGAAATGACATAATAATATTTTCTTAGTCGTCTTAATTTTCGATACAATATTACAATATAATATTAATATTAATACTGTATATAATAATAATAATTTGATTATAKGTACCTTCTCCTGCGCGGGGCTTTGAACAACGACCAATAGTGGAGCGCGTAACTTAACGGCGGACCACCATCACCGGAGCCACGTTGTTATGCACCGGTACGGGGGTGAAAACGTAAGTGGTGTCTCCCATCGAGTCGTTGTAAAATGCACCGGGGTTGGCGTGGCCGCGGTTAATTTGGCTGCGGTTMATTTTGCTGCGATTCATGTATCCGCGGCTCTTGTGGCCAGGATTGGCAGGCGGCAATAACGGCGCGGTGGAGTCGTTGCGGTTGACAGCAGCGGCCGCGGCGCGGGGATGGGATGAGGACGGCTGCCTGCGTGGTCTGCACCTGGTAAATCCACCTTTGCATGCGCACAATTGGCCTGGGTTGCTGCACTCACTGCATTTGTCATGGTTCACACAAAACGCAATAATAATATGCGGACAAACAAAATAGACACGTGGCGAATTAAAATAAATTTTTTCAATAATTATAACAATATAATATAGTTGTAATCCGGTGGTTCCTAATAAGTGGGGCGGGAAATTTGGTTACATCATGAGGAGAATGCAGTGATGGKTTTGTTGTTAAAATACTTATGCCATTTTACAATCAATACAATTTAAAATAATAAATTAATAATGTTACTTATAAAATTGTATTAAAAAATATAAAAATTATACTATCAATTAAGTTAATTTACCTTTTATTTTTAAAACAGAAAATTCCGCTTAATGTGAACATGTTGGGAGTGTTAGGACCAAACACATTTGCTCACATTAAGGATTAAGCAAATGATCGTATATTAACCAATACCCACATAACACGGTATACACTGTATATTGTTATACATATTACATATTTATGTATTTACGTGAATYACTTACCCTTTGTAGTTACTGATCAAATTAGTTTGGCTAAGGGTATTTCTAATTATCAACATCGACAACACGGAYAGGGTGATAATTATCCCGGCAAATATGGCGCAGATTATACCGAGCACTCTATTATTAAAGTCAGTGTCGTCGTTATCGGTGTGAATTTTAAAGTGGTTGCTGTTGTTGCTTATATCCCCGGACGATGGGAAGGATTTAGAAGTAATAGTCTTCTTCTTCAGGTCCGGGGGTGATGAAAAATCCGGAATGCCACCGTGTTGTGGGTCCGTGTTCAGGGTGGAACGATAGGTCACGGCACCTATCTGCGTGATTATCGCAGGTGACTTGGTGGTAGCAACTGYTAATAAAATCTCGGCTGCGATGTCATCGTCGAAGTCTGAAATATTCTCCTGGTCGTCAGGGTTCTGCTTTAAGACCGGCACGACTGCACACCCAAAACCRACAAAACAATATTTATATATTATTATACTGTCAACATAGATCACTGATCTAATGGACGACCCGACGACGATAACAACTACGTCGACAACATGAMGAAAATCATAACATATTWAATATGATACTCTGCATTGCATAGTGGCGTAGCGATCTTAAATAAATTTACACGGACAAATCTATGATGTTCTATCACTCATCTAAAACTCGATAAAAACATCACGGATATAGTCATATTTTCAACTGCCTCCAGCTATCGGAATTATACCACACAATTATTAGGCATTGGCAAATCATCGAACGTCAAAAAACTCTGAAGCTATAGCTTCTCAATTACCTTCTTTACCACGCCACTACGCATGTGTGTATATTATGTTTTCAGCAGTCACGCGTAGGTTCATAATATGTATAATATATATAATATTATATACGAAGATACGACCATAGTCACAGGATATAAGGTCGCATGCGTATGCGTCCGCAGATGAGAGCAGTACCTATAACCTACATCGATTATTTTTTTAGTAAAACAGTTGTTATCACCTATTAAATAAAACAAAATATGTGATAACAACTGGTATTATTAGTCATCCTGCCTTAAGGAATAGGGTCCACCC